GATTATTATGAAGTCTGCATTTTCCTATTTCATCTATGCTTAAGTGGTTTTTCTTGCTAGTAGGGGTTTTGACTGAGACAAGTCATGGGCTCAACTATAGGATTCTATTACAACTTTAGAAATCAAAGCATAGGACAGTGACAAATGCCTTATTTCAGATTTATGAACACCTTAGGTAATAATCAAGCTTTTATTCATAAGAAAAATTTATAGATAAATGATAATACTCATTAAAATGTTTTAACATCAGTTGTCCTTAACTTACCCTCAAAGTATGATGCTCCTGTGCTAATAATATTCTTAGTTCTTCATGTAGTGTCATAACTTCCAGAAACTGTCCCCATAAAGCCATCAAAAGTGAACAAAGTTGTGCAAGATTCATATTTATAAGTTCTGCCAGTTCATCAGGGTTTTCTAATTTCTGAAATGACCAAAAAGTACATTATAAAGTGACTTACTGTAACATAACTACAGGTGACATTTTATTAAGACTACTAATACAATAGCAAATTTGCAATTTAAAAAAGAAATATGTGGACACATATACACACGTGTATGGAGAAACCAGTCTTTTTCTCTTTGAAAGCTATTGTAGCAACATTGAGCAATTTTTCAGTATCTAAGATACCATATTACTGAAATTATATCACTATAATGTAAAATTATAAAGTAAGTTTATGGAATATAAGCAACTTCAAAATACATGCATTAAATATTGAAAAGTTTAAACAAAAATGTGGTCATATACAGTTGCTATGAGTTGGAATTGACTTGACAGCAACTAATAACATGTACAAATAATGATGAAATTTATATCATTCTGACAAATACTGAAATCAGCTAATTATTAAGTATATGAATTCCTATTTCAAATACCACTTAGTTCCATAAATTTGTCTTTTGATTCTTTTAAAGAAATTCTACATATTTCCAGTATAGTAATTTTATTACATATTCTAGTATCCTGCTGGGCAAGTCCTTCTATATTTATATTATTTCAAAGTTTTTTCTTAGCCATTCTTATCTTTTTCAAAATCTTAAAGATAAGTTTAAATTAAAAATTCCGGTGAGCGCCGGTGAGCAGGTCTGGTGCGTCCATCCTGGAGAAGTCACCGGCCTCCACATACGTAGAAGGAGACGGAGGTTTCATCGATGTTGGTGGCCTCGGGCTAAAAATGGCATCTAGTGTTTTGAAGACATCATCTCTGTCTGCCCGGACAAAACTGCTGTGTCAGACTGGGTTGTCACTTTATAATACATCTCATGGCTTCCATGAGGAAGAAGTTTAAAAAGAGCTTGTACAGTTTACTGGTGGAT